CCCCCCCCCCCCCCCGTCTTCGTGACTCCCCCAAAGGCCCTTTCCCGGGAGTGAGGAGAGCGCCCAGACTCAGGAACTGGGCTCCAGAGGAGGCGGCTGCTTCCGCATTTCATCTTTACAGAGGCTTTGACACGAAAGGAATTACTGGTCCCTTCTCACCGAGGGGGACCCTGAAGCCTAGAGAAGTTGATAGAGACCTGACCCAGGCCAGGAAGCAAAGGAAAAGCAGGGTAGGGTCTGCACACGGGACTTCGGCGTCCATGGGAACAGTTGTTTCCCAGCACCAGGGTCTAGTTCTGCTGGGCCCTGCCCCCTTGGTCTGCCAGAAGGTGGGGTGGATGGAGAGTGCTGGGAGGAGGAAGGAGGCTTGCTGGGACCAGAGTGTTAGACCTTGGGGTGCAGAGGGCTTTGGGGTGAGACTGTCGCCTTGCGTTCCCACCTGTCTTCCGCCTGACTTGGCCTTGGGCCCCCAGGGGCTGGGTGGGAATGGCTTGCCTGAAAAGCTCAGAGGATTTGGCCTGCATTGTTCGTTTAGGGGGGGTGGGAGAGGGAAGGGGAGAGCACAGAGGAACAGGGCGGGAGGAGTCCAGAGGGAAGGAAGGAGGGATGGGCGGGGCTGGGAGGGTTTCAGGGCATCCATGGTCTCTCTATTTCCAGCAGTGGCCCTCTAGCTCCCTGGGAGTGAGGAATCACCACCAGCCCTTTCATCTGGCCAGAGGCTTCAGAGCCAAATGCAGAGGCCCCTCCGCGTGTCCTCGTGGGCTTGCCACGAGGGACAGCAAGCGGGCGGTCAGCTAGGCAAAAGGATCCTTCTCCCCAAATCTCCCTCCATTGATCCATACACCAGAGTTTACTGAATTGCACAGAAGCCCTGGGGTTAGGAGCAGAGCATGGAGAAGCTTGATCCCTGCTTCAAGAAGTAGCGTCTGACCTGAGGGGGACGAGAACCCTCAGGGCCACAGTTCCCGAGTATCCATGTTGGTCCTGGAGAGAATATCCAGGCTGCCGGATCCAAGACCCAGTGGACTCAGTGTGGCCAGGGTGGGGGCTGCCGGGCGCCACGCACTACCTGTCCGGCCCGAGCTGCCATCAGGGGCCTGGCAGGAGCACGGGCTGCCGGGCCCAGTCTGGCCCAGTTGGGAGGTACGTGCAGGAAGTGGGGCCCAGGTGTGCTGGGGCCCCGCTCGTGGGGAACTAGAGCGTCACTGTTTCCACTGGGGCCTGGGGCCCACCCCGTCTCTGGGAGGTCTGACCAGATGTGCTGGGAAGGGGCTCTCGCTGCCATTGCTGCACTCCAGGTGTTTGCCCTGGCTGCCCTGGTGGTCTTGGGCCAGCAGGGGTGGGGTTGCCAGGGAAAAGGTCCAGAAAGCCTTGCCCAGTCTCACAGAATCATCTCCGGGAACCGGGCTGTGTCCCTGCAGCCAGGCCTCTGACTCCCTCCCTCCCGGCTTGCCCCTCCCCCGCCCAGGCCTGGGGTGTCTCTGAGGGACGGCAGGAGAGACCCCCATCTCTCTCCGTGTGTGGAGAGGCTGAGGTGGATGGCGTCCGGTTAGAAAGATGGGGGCGAGAGGGTTGTCGGAGACACGAGGAGTCACGGAAGGGTTCCAGATGCCTCTGATGCCCAGCCTCACGCACCAGGATTGGTGATAGGGCTGGGCATCCATGCACCAAGAGGCCAGCGATCTCAGGACGCCCCCAGAAGTGACCCTGAGGAGTCTGGAGAGTGTCTTGGGGGATACACTTAGCCTGGAGGCCCTGGACTGGTGAGGCCCAGGAGCGGGCTGTCTGGCGCCTTCTTCTCAGACCCCTGCGGGGGGACCTTCTGTGCCTGGGGCTGAGGTGGGGAGATAGGGCTTGGAGGTGGAAGTCAGGCAGCCCTCCCTGCCCACCTTCTGCCCCTTCCTGATCTGACCTCTGGGCCCGTCCTGGAGTGGGGGAAGGGGCCAGGCCTAGGGTCATCACACTCCTCTGGGAAACCCTGTGCCTCCCGGGTTTGTGTCATCACACTCCTCTGGGAAACCCTGTGCCTCCCGGGTTTGTGTCCGGATGGCAAGGCCAGAAGGTGGCTCAGCAGGTGGGCGGGGCCTGAGGGCTCATGGTGGTGGTTCTGGGGACGGCCAGCCGTGCTGGCTGCAGGAGCCCTTTGGACTAAGGCACAGCCTCCAGCCACACAGTCGCCTTCCCCAGGCCCAGTGCAGGGCCAGAGGCTCCAGCCTGCACTGGATGGGATGGCTGGTGGCTCGGCCAGGCCGCCTGCTGCTGGAGCTCTGCCCCTGGCACGGGCACAGAGCCTTTGTTCTGCCAATCCAAGTCCTTCACCCAAAAGTTACTGTAACACCAGCGGGTGGGTGCAGGGACGGCTGAGGGGGCGGGGCCGGTGGCAGGAGCGGATATATCTGAAGGTCAGCGGGGGAGGGAGCCCATGGTCACTGCCAGGGTGCCTGGGAGTGGGCACCTCCCTCTGCACGCCCTGGTGCCAGGCAGCCGGCGGGTGGGCAGGCTGGGCGTGGGGGCCATCCCCTCCCTTTGTCCCTCCTTTCTGTGTCCTTCTCCCAGGGCAGGGAGGGGTCCAAGGCTGTGGTGCTGATGTGTTTGCTCTCCCTCCCAGCCTCGGAGGACACACGTGGCCTTGGCGGGGAATGGGAGGCTTGGCTTGGGTCTGCTCTGGCCCTGGGCCCCCTGAGCCGGCTGCTGTGTCCGTCCTGGGTTCCTAGGCCTGAGAGGGAAGGACCTCCAGGGGCCTGAGACAGGCGGAGGACAAACCAGAGTAGCTGCAACAGCTTGCCTTGCCCTCCGCAGAAACTGGGGCCGGAGAGGAGGGTCCCCTGTGGGACCCTGGGGCAAATCCGGAGCCCACCGAGGCTGATCCAGGGCTGCTCCGTGGGGTTGCGAGTGGGTGGAGGAAGGGGATTCAGGTGTGGCCAGTCACGCCCTCACTGTGATCTCGGGAGGGCCCTTCCCCCTCTGGGCCATGGCTTCCAGGAGGGGTTTTCAGATTCCATGGCTCAGCAGGTATTTGCCAAGTGTGTGGAAGAGCTGGTCAGCGGGAAGCAGGTGAGAGGCCACTGCAGCTAAAGTCAGCTGGGAAAAGGTACTCTGTTCTCTTTGAGGCCGGGCAGGTGCACGCACAGGCTGCTGGGGTGTGTGGGGGGTGGTCTGGGCCGGCCCCGTCCAGCACCTCACGCCAGGATTGGGCATTTCCCAGAGTGAAGCTGAGGCCCAGTGGAAATGCCAGGCGGCTGGGAGATGACGTCCTCTTTTGCCCCCCCCCCCCCGCCTGATATAAAGTACACACCTTGGCGTCATCCCTGTGCGGACGGCTGCCTCGGCGGCTGCCTGCCTTCTGTTATTCTTTCCACTCTGCAGGCCGAGGCTCCAGTGGCTTGGCCGGGTGGCCTGCCTGGGCCCCCGCCCCTCCCGGGCAGCCACTTCCATTCCTCCCCGTCTGAGTCACTGGCCCGGGCAGTGGGTTCCCTCTCTGGCTTTTCCCACCCCCGCTGCCCATCCATTTGTCCATCCATCCACAGCCACCAGAAGAGAAGGGGAGGATGTCTGGCTGAGCACGGGTGCCATGGGGGTTCATAGACACTGGGTGAGAGGCGGGAGGGGTGAGGGAGGCCTGGCTCAAGGGAGAAGGCATTTGTAGAAACAATTATGGGGAATTAGAGCCTTGACAAGCCCCTGGTGGTGCCCCAGGCCTTTGCTATGGAATCGGCTCCCATTCTGGGGGAGGGAGAGGACCGGAAACCGGAGCTCTTGAGATTGTTGTGTTGGTGGGAAACCAGCGGCCTCGGTGGGCGCATCTGTCCAGGGACATCCCTCAAGGTGACGGCCCACCTCCCCCCGCCTTTGCTTCTGAGGCTCCAGCGGACTCGCCTGGGTGGGACTTGCTCGTGCTCTCCCCCCAGACAACCCTGGAGGCAAGTCCATACCTGTGGCTTCCCCTGCAGGACTTGGCCTGGGCCTGGGCTGTGGTGACCTTTGTCCAGCATTCTTGGCGCACTTTTGGGAATTCCGAGGGAAGCCCCAGAGGGAAACAAAGCAGCCTGAAACCCATGATGACTGTGGTCAGGGAAGTCGGCTCTGGGGGCCGGCAGCCCTTCCTCCCTTCACACTGAGCCGCTCCCTGGGCACCTTCCCAGGGTGCCCGAGTCCTGACCCCGGCAGATGGCCACCTCCGACCCAGCCCGCCCTGACGCAGCTCAGGCCTCCCTCTGCCCCAGCCGACACCTCCGCCTCTGTCTGTCTTTTGTGGTGGGTGGTGGTTTCTGAGCTGCTTCGGCTTCAGGAAGTGCCCGTGTTGTGAACCCTGGGCACAGACCCAGGGATGAGGCCCTGCAGTCTTCCCAGTGCCTGGGAGGCCCTGATGCCTCCCAGCTGGGCCCGAGGCAGGGGCATGGGCTTGGTGACCTCTGAGGAAAGCCTCTTGGGGCCAGAGTGCCCACCGCCCAGCTTTGCTTGGCTTCTCATTCTGGTAGATTCTCTACTTCAGAGGGGCTCAGGAGAATAAAGGGACAGCCAAGGTGGAAAGGAACCTTAGAACATCAAGCCGGACTCCCGTGAACTCAAGGAGTAAATGGAGCTCCAGAAGGGGCAGCGACACTGGCTGTCACTTGGCTCGTCAGAGTCTGGTTAAGACAAGAGTCCTGGTCCTGGCTTCCGTTCTCTCTTCCGAGACCCCAGCCACAGGGACCTGCAGGTGCAGGTGGCAGCAGGCTTTCTGGGTGGGCCTTGCTCAGGACCCCTTCCCACCTGGGGGTCAGGTGTGCCCCCCCACACACACACTTACTTCTGCTCAGTCCCAGGTCCCTGAGCTGTTCCGACCCTCACTGGCCCCGAGGCCTGGGAAGGAGCAGTTCAGCTGGCCATCACTAGAGGGCGCAGGGAACGTAACCCATGGGGCAGGACAAGGCTTGTCAGTTAAGTGAGGTGCGTCTTCTGCGCCCCACCTTGAGAAGCCCTGGGGTGGCCCCTCTCCAGCCTACGGGGTCTGTGAGGGGGGCCCTGCAGGCGACTCAGCATTGCCAACTTCTGGGCTGCTGGGAGAAGACGGCACTGACTTAGGGGCAAGCGGGTCATGGAGTTTAGTGCTTGGTGGATTGAAAGGAAACCCAGAGATCACCTGGTTCAACCTCACTCTTTTGCAGATGAGGAAGCTGGGGCTTGAGAGAGTGGGAGGTGATCTGGCCGTGCTCACACAATAAGTTGGTGGGTGATCTGTGTGGTTACAACTCAGGTCTCTGGGCGCCCAGCCTCTTTTCCCATCACACCCCTGCACCTTAGAGCCCAGCTGCCTTTGCCTCTGGCTGGGCCCGGTGGGCATAGCCTCTGCCTGTCTCTGTGCATCTTTAGACCCAGGTCTTCCATGTACTGGAGGCTCTGGCCAACTCTATCCTGTCCCCTCCACGACAGAATCACTAGTCTGCCACTGGCTGGCTCTGGCCCAGGCATGGCCTCCCTGTCCCCTCCTGTCCCACCTCCAGGCTCCCCATAGAGGCCTGGGAGCTGCAGAGTGGTTTTTCTGCCTCCCTGTCTTGTTTCTGAATGAGCTTGCTCAGCTCCTGCAAGCCACTTTCTGCCCTCCCCCCCCCCGCATCTTTGCTGTTTTGGAAGGGCCCTTAGTGGGCCGTGCTGCACTCTGCCGTGGGCCCCACCCTCCTCCCCAAGACCCTTAGCCCAAAGGCTGAACCTGAGATGCTGAGGACGCAAGGGTGGGGGACTGAGGCAAGCACGGCCCTTCTCCACGACCCTCTGGAGGGAGGTGGCAGCCAGGGTCTGCCTTGGAAATCCTCTGAGACTCCTAAACTGGGCAAAGTGCGGGTGACCCAGGCAGGGCTGGGCTGACCCAGGCCGCCTCCTGCCATCCTTCTGCTTCTCGCTGTCCCTCTAGCAGGAGCAGCCCCAAACAGCGCGGGCCTCTCTGCCCCTCCCCGGCCTCCCGCCCTCCCTCCCTCTCTCCACCGGGAATTTCGGAATGAAAGTGCTATTGTGAGTGCCTGGCTGGGCCACTGAAGGGCCAGCACTGTTATTTCTGCAAACCAGCCCTCCCATTAGCCATGCAGGGCCCCGGCCAGGAAAATGTTACCTTTCCTCCTCGAGCTGACTGCAAGGGAAATTCTCACATTTACAGTTTGTGCGGTGGTTGTGGGGGGGGTAGGCAGGGAGGGCAGTGCGTGTGTGTGGCTTGCATGGAGCGGGGGCTCCTTCTGCACGGTCTTTCCCTTCTCTGCCTTCCCGGCTGCCCTTCCTTTGATGCTGGTGGGGTCCACCTCTTCTGCTCTGGACTGGGGGGGCGATGGAGGTTGCTGGTTCCAAGTGAGACCTGCAGGCTGTTGGCAAATAAACTAACATCCTCCCCTCTCCTGCACACGTGAAAAACATGTGCCGGGGGTCCTGGGCGAGGAGGGGCGGAAGGGGGGTGCCGAGCCAGTCAGGTGGGCAGAGGGCAGGGGAGGTGGAAACAGGGACTCATTGGCGACTTGGAGTGGTCCTGGAAGATGCAGGAATTCAAAGGGCTTCTGTTTGTCTTTATGACCTCTTGGGGTGGAAAGCCATTGCCCCATCCCCCTGCCTCTCTCCCAGCCACACTGAAGAGACATTTCAATGGCACAGATGTTAATAGGCTTCCTGTAGGTGTTTCCCAGCAAGTGAGAAAACGTTGGCTCCTAGCAAGTCCTGCTTGCGGTCCAGCCTCAGACTCTCTTGCTCTTCTCCCATCAGCGAAGTAGAAGAGCCACATCACACATTTCCCTCCTCCCCGTCTCGTCCACTCACTGTGTTCCTTTTCCTGGACTCTCGTCCTGCGTCCTGGCGTTCAGGAATGGATCCTGCTGTGGGAGGGCAGCTGCCCTGCTCCAGCCCTGCTCACCCTACTCTTGTGCCCCTCACGGCTAGGCAGCCACATCCCCCGCAGACTGCCCTGTCCCCAAGACCTCACCATTTTGTGAGTGTTCCCAGGTTGCAGGCATGGCCTCTGAGCCTCGTGCAGGCAGAGCAGGGGTCGCGCTGGCTTCGGGGGCCGGCCTGGAGCGGGGAGGCCACCGGCTCACTGGCCTGACCCTCCACCCTCCAGGTCTTCTCCAAGATCTTCAGCCACGAGGCCCTGGAGAGCTACCTGCCCAAGATCCAGCTGGTGATCCAGGACACACTGCGTGCTTGGAGCAGCCACCCCGAGGCCATCAACGTGTACCAGGAGGCGCAGAAGCTGACCTTCCGCATGGCCATCCGCGTGCTCCTGGGCTTCAGCATCCCCGAGGAGGACCTGGCGCACCTCTTCGAGGTCTACCAGCAGTTTGTGGAGAATGTCTTCTCCCTGCCTGTCGACCTGCCCTTCAGTGGCTACCGACGGGTGAGCTCTCAGGGCCTGGGAACTGGGGTCTGGGACATCCACGAGCCCACCCTCAGGGAGAAGGCGCCCGCCGCTGGGACCGGCACAGGGCGTGTGGACACAGGGAAGCGGTGCCAGCGGGGGCGGTCCCGAGGCCCAGGCGGGAGCCTTCGGTGCAGTGATGGCCGTTCTCCCACAGGGCATCCAGGCGCGGCAGATCCTGCAGAAGGGGCTGGAGAAGGCCATCCGGGAGAAGCTGCAGTGCACCCAGGGCAAGGACTACTCGGACGCTCTGGACCTCCTCATCGAGAGCAGCAAGGAGCACGGCAAGGAGATGACCATGCAGGAACTGAAGGTGGGCTGGGCGCTGCATTCTGGGGCTTCCTGGCAGGGAGGGCACTTTCCACCCGCTCTGGTCTCACTCCCGGCAGTGGCTGGAGGGGCTAGACCTGAGGCAGAGACAGTGTCCCTGGCCCTGCTAGGCAGGACACCACAGACCGTCCTCCTCTCCCGGGACCATCCATTCATGTTGTGGTCCCAGTGTCCCTCGGCCACCCAGGGACACACAGGCCCGGAACAGGAAGTACTTGCCTGAGGCCAGCCTTGGCCCTTGGGGAAGAGCAGGAAAGGTTTGGATGTGAGGACTCCCACTAAGGTGGATGGCGCTTCACGGCTGTCCTGCCCACCCTGCAGCCTCTGCTGCACCCAGCTGGGCTCCACACAGGGCCTCCTGCCCGCCCTGTGTGGGTGGGCGTTCCACCCGGGGCCAGGGGATAGTTAGCCATCCCAGCCAGGCTCTGTGGCCTACTCGAGTGCTGGGCGCCCACAGACACTCGCTGCAACTCCCCAACCCCACTGTCTTTGCGCCCCCGTATTCTAGCTCCAACTTTTCTCCTGGGAAGCCAGGACGAGGTCCCAGTGACCTTCCCGCTTTCCAAGAAGTCTGAGGACTCGTAGGTGGTACCCTGGCAAGCGAGGGAGCCAGGCCCCGTCATGCCCCTCTCGGGGCCCATGTGGAATGAGATGACCTACTGGGACCTTTCCACGGGGCATCTGTGGCCCTGGAGCCCTGCTGGCCACAAGAGTCCTGGAGCAGTCTTCAGGTCCTCCGGGGGCCACCTCTCTTCAGCCTTCCCTCAGGGCATCAGAGTATGGCCCTGGCTGCCTCCCAGACCCCGCCTGCTCCTCCTGGCGACAGAGGAGGGAGTTGGGACTGAGAGTGGGGCGGCCTGGGTTTGACCCCAGGCCGCCCCACATGTGCACACACACTTGCCACCATTGTCTTGGGCCTGGCTCTTTTTCTCTCACGAGCTCACGGCATCGAGCAGGCCTGCCGAGCTGGCCCAGGGGTCGAGCCGTGGGTGAGAAGTGGCCCTGCCCCCAGGGACTCGCAGGCGAGTGCTTCCACCCTGGGTCACTGCAGTTGTGTCTCCTGCCCAGCCAGGGACTGGCTGTGACCCCGCGTCCGCCGTGGCCCTGATGCCCCAGCGACACGAGGCTCAAAAGCAGCTGGAGTCACAGCAGGAAACAGGCTGGGCGGGCATGGATGGCCGTGGGCACAGGGGCCGCCAGCTGAACGGGGCCGCGCCCCCCCCCCCCGGGTGAGCCCATGTTACCAACGCGCCAACCCCCACTGCCGCTGCAGGACGGGACCCTGGAGCTGATCTTCGCAGCCTACGCCACCACCGCCAGCGCCAGCACGTCTCTCATCATGCAGCTGCTGAAGCACCCCACCGTGCTGGAGAAGCTGCGGGAGGAGCTGCGGGCCCACGGCATCCTGCACAGCGGCGGCTGTCCCTGCGAGGGCACCCTGCGTCTTGACGTGCTCAGCGGCCTGCGCTACCTGGATTGCGTCATCAAGGAGGTCATGCGCCTGTTCACCCCCATCTCTGGTGGCTACCGCACTGTGCTGCAGACCTTCGAGCTCGACGTGAGCCTGGGCCCGGGGCTGGGGGCTGCGGGGGTCGAGACCTCAGCCAGACGGGGAGACAGTGCCGGCTTCTGGGGAGCCTTCAGGCTGCTGGGAGACACAGCCCCAAAGTGGAGTCCGATGGAGCCAACCTGGGCATCACATGCAGTTGCGTGTGGGCCCCTGTAGATACGGGTCTCACAGTCAGGGGAGGCTGGCCAGGCCTGGGGGCACAGCAGGGCGTCTCCAGGAAGACGCAGGTCTGGGGCTGGGCAGGCAGGCCATCCTGGGCCCATCCTGGGTCCTCCGCGGCCTCCTGTGGCTCTCACCACTGCCCCCACCCCATCTTGCCTCCAGGGCTTCCAGATCCCTAAAGGCTGGAGCGTCATGTACAGCATCCGGGACACCCATGACACAGCGCCCGTGTTCAAGGACGTGAACGTGTTCGACCCTGACCGCTTCAGCCAGGCGCGGAGTGAGGACAAGGACGGCCGCTTCCATTACCTCCCGTTCGGTGGCGGCGTGCGGACCTGCCTGGGCAAGCACCTGGCCAAGCTGTTCCTGAAGGTGCTGGCGGTGGAGCTGGCCAGCACCAGCCGCTTTGAGCTGGCCACGCGGACCTTCCCCCGCATCACCCTGGTCCCCGTCCTGCACCCCGTGGATGGCCTCAGTGTCAAGTTCTTCGGCCTGGACTCCAACCAGAACAAGATCCTGCCTGAGACGGAGGCCATGCTGAGCGCCACGGTCTAACTTCAAGGCCCGCGCCTGCCTCGGCCTGGCCCAGGAGTGGGGGGGTGGGGCGCTGGAGGTAGAAACCTGTGTGAGGGAGGGGGCTGGAACCGGGGAAGGGCAAGCGGCCCCGAACTTGCCCTCCCCT